AGTACTGAAAAATTTATACTGATAGAAAAGCCCAGGCAGACATGTTTGTTTATTGCTTTGGTAACCTATGTGAGGTTGGTGTAAGTGAAACACCTTTTTGCAGGCCCTTTGAAAAACAGAGCAGACATCGACAGCTTTAAAGTGCTCTGGCAAGAAAGCTTTAATTTGTCAGTGTTCAATATGTCAGAGCTCAAATATTCTCTCAGAAGACGTCTTAATGCATATGCATTATTAATGCACTATCTGAGGGAACACATCTATTCCAGCTGAATCTGACCAACGTCATTAGTCACAGAGTGCAAAACAAATTTGGAACTAGATACAGTAACAGGTAAGAGAACATTCCTCACCTACCTTGTTTCTTGTGCTTCCCTTAAAATTTAGAAAGCCAACAAGTTCTACCTACAATCCATGAAATTTGCCTAATCTAAAATGTTGCACACACACACACCTACCACGTTTGAGAATCAATGAATCTCAGGATTATTTCCTTACAACCGGACAGCGTGTGAATTTATATCTAATCGAAATGGTAATTTTTTAAAAAAATCTTAGACTGTACCCGAACTGCTACACAAATTCTGTACTGACCTAAAACTTAAATACAGTGTAATTAAAACTCAAACCACTAATTTTTTGAGGCTCTATAGCTTTCATGCCTGAAATCGCTTTTATTTGAATATTTAGAAAAAAACTCATTAACTCCATAATCCCAATCACTATAATGATCGTGTGTTTCCCACTGATTTTTTCAGGCATTTCTAATTTAATGTTGCAATTTCAGTAACAATGTCAAAGCAGAAACAACAATCATAGTGCTTCTGAAGGTGACATTTTAACTAAGTCCATTAAAAAAGGCCCGTTCCTCTGCCTGCAAGGTGTTTTCATGCACTTCTCTGTTCATGAAAGAGAGATGTTGAGTAAAGCCTAATTAACAGGCATGTTACAACACTGTGGCATGAAACTTTGCAATATTGGTTTCTGTGCACCTTGAAATCCAGCAGTACTGAACTTGAGCTGACAAGGCCCTGAGCAACCTAAGCCCTGCAGGAGACCATCTCCAACACACCCCTTCCTAACCTGAATTCTTCCGTGATTACATTTTAAATTGCATTTCTGTGTAACATGTCCCTATCTAGGAATATATATCGAAGTCAAGTTTGCTGATGGCTGGTTTTTAGAGTGGACTGCAAAGCGCAGTTGAGAAGCCAGAGACAGACTTAATGGAATTAGCAAACTGGGCATCACGATGACAAAATAAATTCAGCACAATCCGGCACAAGCTATTGCACTCAGTATTACACTAATGGATCCAGATATTAAGTCAGTGGGAAAACATAATAATATGGTCTTTCATGGAGAAGGTCCCTCTGCCATCGGGACGAAGACAACATGCACCTGGCTGCTTGCTCTACCGTGATCAAGAAAGAAACTACACACAAAGAAATATTTAGCGGGATGGAAGCAAATGTTTGGTATCAACATCAGACAGCTATAGTAATAACCGACATTTTCCTACAGTCTTTATTCTATCATCTCATATGAAATTAAAGAGAATTAGGTTCATCACAGCAATGACAAGAAAAGCAGCTGCCATGTAATAAGAAATTATGTCTGATAGTCAGCTAACTAGCTTCCAAGTAATATAACTGAGGTAAACACATGCGTACAATAGAGGAGGACAACTTTTACTTTCAAGGAGCTTTTGCTTTTGATAAAGAATGGTTAGCATAAATTCACTGACAAAAATTAGTCAAATGTTTGCAAAAATAAGCATTTTTAAAAGTAAGGAAAGCATCTTTAAGAGAGCAATGCTCCCACCTTTTAGCATAAGCTGAGTCACATAAAAGTATCAACTATTTTATGTAATTTGTAGGTATGAGACATTACCTATTTTTTCTGACTCTTCTGGTTATTTTTAATACAGGAGAAAAGAGGTACGAGCATGTACTACTAGAAAATCTAACAAAATTGCGGCTCACACTCGCAATCAGTTTTTGATGGCTTAGTTACAGAAAGTAAGCCATGCCCTTTAGCAAATTGCTGACAACCCCTCACTCAATACACAGTGTCTCTAATTTGTCTGTACACTATTAATATTATCTTGGATATGGAATGACTTTGCATATAAACCAATGTCATTTGACATGCTAGATTAAATTTAAACATTCCACATATACTATGGTAAAGTCTTTGTGGTATCTTTTAAACGGCCCATATTCACCTATACAGCTGTAGGCTCATCCACGCTATGAACAGAGTTCCAGGCAAAATCGCAACTGCTCAAATCAACCACTGTTAAAAAAATTATTTACTCATTTGTTTATGGCCAGTAAGCCATCGTTCCCAGCTTCCTCCACGACAAAGCAAGTTGTCATATGCCACAGTAACATCAGTTGTGCCTAATGCATTCCTG